CCCAGGTAGCACTCAAATTATAGTTTAGTAGAGTGACAATGACAGCTACTATATCATGTAACTCCCACAACAATGATTACAATCACAACATTAATGAATTACTGCAGCATAATTTGAATTAACTGCTACTGCGATATTGTAATTTACTGTTATGCACTATCATAGAGTGCATAAATTAATGATAGTTAGTAATTCCTATAACAATACAGTAATACTGCAATATACGGTATAAAATACACCACTCTTTCAGTGAACGTGAAAGAGGCGCTGACAAAGTAAAACAAAAACTGTCATTAGCTTGCTTCACCAGGGTCAGGAATTCAACTCTAAGTCACCAGGATCATAGCGTATTGCAATACCCAACGTGCCACTCCCTTTCATATTACATTATAACTTTTTTCTCCAATGCTATGGGGGTACTGTTGGTGGACCCTGTTATCCGTGTATATCCACACATTTCCCTCTTATATGGCCAAAAGTAAGCACGCACCAGCATGAATGAATGCCGTATGACCTACTTTCACAACACCACTTTCAAGTCAGGTGAAATCCACCACCAGCACCAGCACTGCCATCATATAAAACACGTGACATGCCCAGGGATGTTCTTATTTGCAATTCGCGCATTTACCTATTATTTCCTCTTATCTGTGATAAGCTATTTCTTCTGATCGAGGGCCTGGGTCACATCGCTGCAGACGTAGCAAGATCTGAAATCGCTGCAACCCTCAAAAACGCTAAGATGCCAGCTAGCAACCTCAGCAAAGATGAGCGTTTTGAATTATATAAATTAAAAAAGAGGGATTACATTGTCATCCTCTCAGCCGACAAGGGCAATGCCACTGTCATCATGGATAAATATAATATAACAACAAAATTCAAGAATTACTCAACGATGGCAGCTATACAAAAATAAAAAGAGATCCCACCAACAGCCTCGTCATACAAACCAACAAAATCATTTCTGATTCAACCGCATTAATTGATCAAACCAAACAGTTCTCGTTGAAACCTTTTGCTGCCAGGCCACCAAGATTATACGGCTTACCAAAAATACATAAAGTAGATACACTCCTTCGTTCCATCGTCTATACTATCAACTCCCCCACCTACAAACTGGCTCGTTTTCTGTCTGAAAACCTGCGGCCTTTCACTGGAAAAACCACCTCTGCGGTACAAAATTCTACTCGCCTGGTATCGACAAGCACGGGTATTTCCCTGTCCCCAGACGACCTGGCTGTCAGTTTTGATGTAGTTTCCTTATTCACCAAAGTTCCTGTACCTGACACCATCACAATCATTGAAGACTTGGTTCATCAAGGACTAAACACTGAGGTACCCCCCCCCTGGTGAGACACTGCTTAACCAATACATACTCACTTGGAATGGAACTTTCTACAAACAAACTGAGGGCACCCCCATGGGCTCCCCCCTATCTCCGGTGGTAGCCAACATTTTCATGGAGAAATTTGAGACTGACACCATCCAGACTGCCACTCTGCGCCCTACCTTATGGAAGAAGTACGTGGATGACACTTTTGTCATCTGGCCACATGGCCGGCCTGCTCTAGACCAATTCCTCGACCACATCAATTCCATACATCCAGCCATCAGATTTACCATGGAAGTCGAAAAAGATGGCAAGCTACCCTTTTTGGATGTCCTAATAAAAAAGAAACCTGATGGTTCAATGAGCCACTCTGTCTACAGGAAAGCTACCCATACGGGTGCTTACCTGAAACCGGATTCCCACCACCATCCATCCCAGAAGAATTCCCTCATCAAGACTCTGCACCATAGAGAGCAATGCATATCCGACCAGGAACACATAGCCAGTGAACTCAAGCACGTACACCAAGCTCTTAAGGCTAATGGTTACTCCGACTACACAATCCGCAAAGCTATCACTCCAACCATGAAGAAGGACCCTCTTGAGGAGCCTTTCAAAACCATCACTTTACCCTACATTGCGGGGATCACAAAAAAGATCTCCAAAATCTTGAATAAACACAAGATCCAGGTCCGATTCAACACATTACATAAAATCCGTGATCTGGTTCCGTCTGTAAAAGATGTGATTCCTGGCGTCTACAAACTAAGTTGCCTCTGTGGTAGTAGTTACATTGGAGAAACCAAACGACATGTCTCGGACCGCATTCGTGAAAACAAAGCAGACCTAAAACACGGTAGGACCAACACCTCGACCGTGGCAGATCATTGTTATAATTCAGTAGGCTCACATGACATTGACTTCTCCAAGACAGAGGTTCTTTGCAAGCCATATGGCTACCATGAGAGATTCGTTCATGAGGCTATCCACATATACAAACACAGAGACAATTTCAACCGAGAAGATGGATTCTGGCTTAGCAATCATTGGAAGGATTTGATAAACCATTTCGGGTCTTAATTTATTGTTCACGCTTACGGTGGCTTTCAGATCGCATCCATTATTTTCGTCTCCCCCCTCCTCTTTTCCGAACATAGATGGACTCGTCCATCTGAATAACTGCCAAATCGCTCTCCGTAGTGCAAACGTTAAAAAAACCCGCCACTTTTTTAAAATTGTCTTGCTGTGGTTTTCACACCTGATGATGACTGCTTGTGTTGCAGTCGAAACGTCGTGATAATTTTATTGTTTTATATTTTTATTATTTTATTGTTTCCTTTCTACATGACTTTACCGAAAGAACCAAGAATACGTAATTAATTTCTTTATTTTTGGCGACTCCGTCCCACTGCATACATTAGCTCTGCGACCCACCTGGCACGGATCATTCTGTTGTCATGTCGTCCAAGCGCAGCGAGGACGAATACGCAGAAGAAACAAAACCTTGAAACTTTGATTAGCGCGTCGTGTAGAGCTTGTCGAGAGGAATAGATTGCAATATCGTTCACCTTTAACAGACATAAAATGATGTCGCAATGCAGTTTATGCGAGAGCCGGGCGCTTATGGGACCCTGGGGTCCCGCCATAAGTTTCATTTATGGGAATGGTCCAAATTTTGGCAAACTTTGGCCATTGTGTGCTGGCGCAATGGTCCAAATTACGTCATGGGATCTTTCACGTCCACTACAAAGAAGACGATATGTAGCTTTACAGTTAATACACCCGCAGTAATAACCAGGGCAGCCAATGGATTTTAACTGCAAACCTCTGCAACAAGCGGCGAACATGCAACCGCTCGGCCACGGCACACACCTGGAATGTTGCTGAATCTCACCGAATCTCAGAAGCTAAGCTAGAATGAGCTCAAGTAGTGTTTGGATGGGTAACCATCATACACAAACAGGATTATGGGTGTCGAGGGTGAGCAGCAGAGCACAGTGCAGCAACATCCACGGATGTTCTGCACTTCTATGTTCCCACATCTACACTGCACACTTTGACCAACCCAAACTGACCAGTGTGGTGAAATATGGTAAAATATCCACAACCCACACACATGCCTTGTTATGTCATGACAGTCCAAATCACAAGGTAGCTCAGAGGTCTTATAATGTAAATGTTGATACGCTGTTGTTATCACTGAAATAGCAAGGTCGACTAAAACTCATTGTCCCTCGAGGGTTGATAAGATTGATGACCACTTTGTCAAAAGTCAACAGTGGTTTGTCTTGAGAGAGGATAACCCTCGTCACAAGAAATATGGATGTTCCACCTCTTGCTCAATGCTATAAATGGAGATGACTACCACTCAATGCTCATATAAGCAGAGACACATTTTATTTATTTACACAGAAAGGCCTAGAAGTCTCAAGACTAATTTTCAAGAAGATCCTATTTACGACAATTTGTCAGTTTATGTTTCCTTATTTTTGTGTGTAGGCATAAATGTAAGTACAGTAAAACCTTGGATTGCGAGTAACTTGGTCTGCGAGTGTTTTGCAAGACGAGCAAATTTTTTTAATAAATATTAATTTGATAAACGAGCGAGGTCTTGCAATACCAGTAGTACGTATACACTTTGTCTGCCGAGCGTCACGTTATCACAACTGATATACGAGTGCTTTGAATTACAAGCACGTTTCCGGAACGAATTATGCTCGCAATCCAAGGTTTTACTGTACCTAGAGAAATTCCATGCATACGATGGGACAGCTCAACAATCCATACTGATGGGGCAAGCAGTCTAGTTGCAGTCCTGACCAACAAGATCTCTGCTAGAATGTACCTCGCATTACCCTTCAATCATTACCACGTTTCATAATTTAGTCATGGGGACAATAACCACACCACTCTTTGAGGCCACGAGGAATGGAATAAACTTGGCACCAGGATATGACAAGACAGACCCATTAACAATATACAAATAGAAAAATTGTCTTCACATAGATTATTTTGGAAAGTACTGTTCGTGAGATCCTATTAAGGCCAGCAGAGAGACACAAGCATCAGTGTGACAAACACCATGCCCAGCTACCTCTGTCTTCCCAGGGCAGATGCTCACATCAGACTCAAGACTTTATTTCAGGTGAGGCCTGCATCAAGTACTCATTTAAGGTTTAGTTGATCTATGCGAGGCCCAGAACCAATTTAGATAGCACTTCTTACTTATGTTATCCATAGATGATAACCAAACCCAGGTCGCCGGGTTCGTAGAGCAGCACGCGAAGCAATGTGCCACAGGTTCTGACAACATTACAATTACCGCCTTTCGCCACTTAGTAGCAGTGATGTCACCATGGTTATTGTGCCAGGCGAGGTGTAAATTTTAATAATACCCAATAACATACATACTAAAAGCCAACTTACTGAACCATTAAAACTGTCAGCAACCACTTATTACGTTTTGCTGCCTTCACAGCCAAGGAAATGATCACGTCCAAGATAACGTCCACCAGGAAGACGGAACAATGAAGTCAGCTCATGTATTGGTGACAAGTGGAATATTACATTGCAAGATCGTGAGAGATGGTGGAAACTTGGGGTGGCCCTCATCCCAATGTGGATTCACCATGGCTGATGATAATTTTGAAAAATGTGGATGTTTACTTACCCTTAGGACACCACTTTGAGGCCTGCCACACGTCCCGGGGTAAGCTTACGTCCACTCGATCTCATCTGGCCTGCTTTCCTTCAACTTCCTGCTCCCATCACGAGGCATAAAGGACAGAAAACTCATTACAGCAAACAATTGTTTTAAGTACAACTCTCCAAAGGGCTTGTAGGTTGTACCATGTGTTGTCAGGCATGATGTCCCATGTTGCGCTTTACATGCTGCGGCTTTCTTCAGAAACTGATCGAGCGGCCCACTTTCTCCCTTGATTATATAGGGAAAGCGCTATATTATCAGGGGAGAAAGTGAAAACACATTGGAGAGCTATACAGCGAAAACGTGAAATCCTATACCACTAATATTGAGTGTTTTTTCCATCAGAAATGTAACTTCGTTTGTTGGTGTTGTGATGGCAGTGTGAAAAATATGACACCAGGTCCCTCCTAACAAAAAGAGTAATGGAAGAAATGAAAATGATTATTGTGTGATTATGCTCCGAAAAACATTTTCTCGGATGAAGAATTTTGTGAAGCTCAGCGCTTGCTGTAAATGTAATAATGTTGCATGGCTTTGTTCACAACTTGTTTTGTTCTTTTCTAAGATTAATTCAAAGACATGGAACAAACTAATTATATCTACAGCATGTAGAGCAATGATAGCAAATTATTACCAACATTACAGTTACAAATTCCAAGTGATAATATAAATTACCCTGGTATATACGAGCATATTTTTCAAAAGCATTATACCAAAACATGGTTAAAATAGGTTAAAGGTGAAGTGATATCTCGAAAAAGTATACTGTAATAAAAAACCTGGTTAGAATGTCCCCACATTTTGCATGTGTATGTGTACAGTACTTCCCACTGAGCCAGTTTACAAGAGCCAAAAGTTAAATACCAATCAATGTTGCAGTAAATGGCGTTTGTCCAATGCCCTTGTGTGCAGTTGGCAATGCAGATACTGTCGAATAATAATTTTCTATTCTTTGGGTCTTTCAGTAAAGTCACGTAGATAGGCTCAAAGAAAATAACAAAAAAAACTACGACGTTTCGATCGCAACACAAGCGGTCGTCTGCTTGTGTTGCGACCAGCAGTTACGAATGCTTTAAGTCAAGATTTAAACATTTTCTCTTATGCGTCTTGTCATAGCCCAGATCCCAAATCAGAAAAACATGCAACTGCATGCAATACATTTTTTAAGGACTTGATTTATTTAGAAGTTATTTAAGTATTTCTACTAGATAACTGAATACAACTATTTAGAAAAGTGGGCTTGAACATGCCACCTTGCAAAAAGAGATTAAGGCAAGCTGATTGAGACCAATGACATCGTAGGGACCCTAAAGGATGATGCCAACTTTGGGAGGCTTTCATTCAGCGGTCGATCGATCATGGCTGATAATGATCGTTATCACAATTACATGTCTTTACAAAGTGGCTAAACGATTGCATGCAAGAGGTAAAACTAAGACCAGCAACAAACACGGTTGGTTTCTTTACTCAGGACAAGGTTAGAGCCCACCAATATTTTGCATCTGAAACGACCTTGTTAATTTCATACAAGCACGCCCCTTGCAATCACCTTAACAACACACGCTGTATGGGCCTAAAATAAAATAATCTTGCATATTTACTGAGCAGAACCACGGCCGATTGATTTTAATTATGAGAATGACATTGATATTAATGCTGTCTTGATGTGGGTGTGTCATTGATATATATATTTTTTATTGTGGCTGCTGTTGTTGATGCTGCTACTAAGAGCGATGATACAAACGAAAGCACTGTCATGGGGATGATGTGCTGATGGATAAGATAACGATGATGGTGATTGTCCTGAGGATATACACCCTACAGAGGTTATCGAGGGACGTGGTGTCTATAA